TGTTTCCAGATCGTTTTTAGTGGTCCTAACGAACATCCCCACATGTTCGTTACAGTTCACTGCTCTGATACCAAAACGATGAAAAATTCCTCTGAACTCCCGCCATGCATGCTCAATATTTTGGATATGTGCGCCTGTTATACGATTGACATGGGCTATCTTGTGGTTGACGGTGCGGTGATCAAACCTAACCCCCATACCCGAATACCCAGCCCAACAGTCTGTATACACAGTACAACCTCTATGCACATAGTGCTCCATGAGCCCAGTCAGAGTATTAGAATTTCGATTTGGTACCTTTATCTCGACTATTCGTCCAGTGACTCGTTCTGTTATTCCCAAAATCCACTCGTTTACTTTTGGAGTTCTCCCGAGTTTTTTCTTTTTACCTCCATAGTTGAGCTCATCAGCCTCGACTCCACGCCCCCCTCCACCTAGTTTCACTTGTGCGCAGTCGTTAGTCCACATGGTGAGAACGTTGTTCATTTTTGTTTTCCAATCTCTAATCACACAAATAGATGATGTTTTTTCGTAGAGCAATTCTGTAATGGTATATTTATCGTGATATATATAGAGAAATATTAATTTAAATAATTTGTTCAATTCAATTCTACTTCTAAAAATGCAAGAGCCATGATATATACTGAGTTTGAAGTTACAACTTTTTCTGACTTTCTTTCTATGTGCATTTATTATTTCATGTGTTCTTTGACACCGAAATAAATTCTGATTATATTGTGTGTGTGTGTGTGTGTGTGTGTGAATATGACTCCGCCCTTTTTTGTTTAAATAAAACACATTTGCTTGTTTAGAAAATTAAAGAAAAGTTTATTGAAAGTATGCTCCATCTGCAGCTACAACCTTCGCCCATCTTTCATGTTTTTTACGTATTCCTTGCCTGAACACATCCTGGTCTTTTGAGCTGATCCAATTATCAAGTCAAATATTGATACTTTCATATGAAGTAAACCGTTCTCCCGTAAGATCTGACTGCAGTGTTCGGAATAAGTGGTAATCCAAAGGAGCTATGTTTGGCGAATATGGCGGGTGGAATAGCACGTCCCAGTCCTGTCCATCTAAATATCTTTTCACAACTTGGGCGGTATGCGGTTTGGCATTTTCATGTTGAAGAATTAGTTTACTGTGCCTATTCACCCATTCTGGTCGTTTTTCTTCTATGGCTTCTATCGCGTCAAACGCATTAGTTGTCGTCCGTAAACTTCTCCATTAATAGTTTGAGAGGGTTCGAGCAACTCATAATATACCATACCTCTCTGATCCCACCAAATGCAAAGCATAACCTTGGTACTCGGAATATTTGTTTTTGGTTGGGATGAGCCGGGTTCACCTGGCTTTACATAAGCTTTTTGGCGTTTAGGATTCTCATAATATATCCATTTTTCATCTCCTGTGACCATTCGATGCAAAAATTTTTTTCTTTGCTGTCTTTGAAGTAGCATTTCACAAATTGTTTTTCGACGTTCCATGTCTCTTTCTTTCAATTCATATGGAACCCAGTTACCAACTTTTTGAACCATTCCCATTGCTTTTAAACGCTTTGCAACAGTTGATCGTTCAACATTTAATGCTGCAGCCAATTCTGATTGAGTTTGGCAAGAATCCTCTGCCAATAATGCCTTCAATTCAGCATCTTCAAATTTTTTTGCTGGTTACCCATGTTCTCTGTTCTCAGGGCCAAAATCATTATTTTAAAATTGTCGAAACCATTCCTTGCAAGTTGTATTAAATGGAGCATGCTCACCGTAAATCTCCACAAGTAAACGATGAGTTTTCGCTATACTTTTCTTTGTAATATAATAGTGTAGTAACACTTCCCGCAAATGACGTTTACTTGGAACGAAAGCCGACATTGTCACGGAGGTAAAAACACTTGTTGCTTACATTTCAACCAAATGTCACGTAGTGCGTTTGACAGCTGACTTAAACTAACATCGAATCCAAGTGTTGCCATCTATTAGTGCACGTAAGCAATACTAAAAGCGACATCTGTTGGGAAAGGGCGGAGTCATATTCACACACCTAATAGTCCGTGTATGCTGGTTCCTCACACACCGAACAGAGCGTGTGAGGCCTATGCACACCAAACTTCCTCAGAAACTCGATTATTCTTAATTTATCACGAGATATATAATAGAAATCATCTAGATTCATTGTAGCAATTTGGATTTTTTCAAGTCTACTTTTTTTTTTAAGAATTAATATTTTTTATTTTCATTTTTATTAATTTTTGAAATTTAATTGGGCTATCTATTTTTCCTGCACCTAGAACCGAGTCCGATTTAGTTAACGAAAATGCCTTTCAATAATCATTTTCTGAATTATAATTCAATTTTTGAACTAGTGTGAACACTAGCCTTTTCTCGTTTACATTACCCCCCTATCTGACAGGCACAAGAGAACGCATAAGTAAAGTACTCGGAAAACATAACATCCGTACGATCTTCCAACCCCCAGTTGCTGCCGAGTGCAAAGGATCCAAGACCACCCCTGAGAACACCAGGAGTGTACGAGATCCCTTGCTCATACGGGAAAGTGTACATTGGAGAAACCCGGAGGAAGATCAGTACACGGATCACGGAACACCAGCGTTATTCCAAATACGGTCACTCAGAAAAGTCTGCCCTGGCTGAATACTGGACGGACACTGGACATACTATCCAGTATAACCAAGCCAGAATTTTGGCCAAATCTCAAGGGTATTTCAAAAGGAAATACCGACAGGGTTTGGAAATCCATAAAAACCCTAACAACCTCAACAGGGACAGAGGATATCAAGTGAACTCCATTTGGAAAACCGTCCTCCCGGTTTTTTTTAATTGACCATCTGATCAATTAAAAACATACGATTGGCTGACTCCGCCCCCTTGCCCTTCCCCCACCATCACAGGGGAAGACATATAAGGACAACCCCTCGACATCGGAGCTCAGAATCCGAGCTCATAGCCTTGAAGATGCAAACTGCAATGTTTGCGAAACGTCGGCGCAATGCTGAAACCAAACGCCGCATCCATCCGGAAGCCAATAATGTCATTAATAATGGCCGCGAAAGCCTCAAAACTCGTACATAGATTTAGTGTTGTGTCGTTTTATCATATCTCCATTATTTACAGAAATATAGCCCGTTGAGTGAGAGCGCGGGCGGTCCACGCCCTTACCGCCGACACCTCGCGCAGGGGATAATACACCGTCCGCTTCGCTCTCACCCCCGATTACTCTTTATCTATCATAGTTAGAAAAAAAAGTTATATAACAAAAAAATGTGTATTTTTAAATTTTCGAAATTTTTTGTTTCAAACTATGTTACCTATCTACAACCGTTTCCGTGATATGATGATTTAAACATTGAATTCTTATAAATAAGAAAAATTGACCACAACGTGCAAAAACCGACTTCGGATTCAGATTCAACATCACCGACAACGTAAATTCCAATAATAAAATTTTTTCAATTCATAGGTTGTGCATAGAGAAACAGGGCTAGCGTAGGAATTTTTTGATCCTGGTGAAATTTGACCATCTCCACTAGACCCTCGTGATGTTTGACTCTCGTGAAATTTTACCATCCTTTTGTAACCCCTGTGAAATTTGACTATCCCCTTGTGACCCTAGTGACATTTCACGCCCGTGAAATTTGACTACCTCTTTGTGACCATCGTGACGTTCAACTCTCGTGAAATTTGACCATCCTTTTGTGACCCTTGTGACTCACGTGATGTTTGACACCTGTGGTGTTTGACCATTGCAACATTCAACCTCCGTAAAATTTCATCATTCTCTTGTCACCCTTGTAACGTTAGACTGTTGCGAAATTTGACCCTTGTGACATTTAACCCTTGCTGTATTGATCACGAGAAGTTCGATCATTACATCGTCTAAAATTTATTAACTTTATTTCAAACATTTATTCCTTCCCAATGTCCATTGAAGCAAGTGGAATAAAAAGTCATGCCGCTATCGATCGAATTCAAAAGATTTAAACGGAGCGCCAGGCGTTCGGCGGTCTAAAGTTTGCGCAGTGGTACTCGAGCGAGGAGTGGGGGACCTGTGGGACTCGCGCTTGGCATCACTGATAGCAGACTAGATTATCACAAATATTGGTTAAATATTATCATCAGTGAACTAAAAGAAAAATTTGACAATAGATGCCTTCATCTATGATCTATTGTCAAATGTTTCTTTTAGTTCACTGATGATCATATTTAAGCATTATTTGTGCCAATTGAATTGTTCTAGATTTGAAGAAATACAGTGGAGCACTAAAATTCCTGAACAACCTGAGCTTGTATCTTATGTATTCTGTTCACGAACTTTAGTGTTCGACTGTATACCTAAAGAGAAATGCGTAATGCATTCGAAACCTTGTGCAATCTCGCTATATTTATGAGTTTTTTTTTTCCTGTTGGCTGGATATTAGTCTTGTATGGAGCAACTGACCAAGAATAATGACCGCAGCAAATCAGTTTACATGACGAAACTGCGGTCGGAACAGTAATAAGGCAAGGTTGCGCGTCCATGAATTCTTACATACCGCCGTCATGGATAAAAATAGTATTCGTCACATGGCCGAAAAAGGTTTTCATCCGGCAGAAAAAATTCTTGCAGCCTAAAGATGAAAAACATTGTAATTGAAAACGTGAAATAAAAAAAATGCAGTTCTCGTACATAAAAAAAATCACAAAAATTGGAAAAAACTCGTTTGGGTCTCGAAAAATTTTTCAATTTAAAGGTATAAAATCAGACCAATATGTCACAGCATAACATCGTTTTTACACCTTAGCCTTTCCTCATTCTGTATGAAATGGCACCACAGAAGTTTATTTTATATCATATTACAAGGCCGATTGGGTTGACGATTCTCCGCGAAGATTCATCAAATATTTTCTGAATCACTGTAATAGGGGACGAAGAAAAATACACACAAGCTAAGCAGAAAAAAAACAAAGATGAACGATTTTTCTTATTTCTGTTATAGACTTTGCTGAGTTGCGGCTTGGTGGCAGTATAAACCTCCGCGAATTCGGCAACTGTTGCTGACTGGGTCTAACATAAATTCGTCGAGCACTGGCTCCTCGAGAAAGATGAGGGTCATTCTCATACGGCATCTCGTCAACACACCAGTAACTTAATAAAATATAAATGCTCGATATCACAGATATTCAAGAAGTGGATCGAAATCAAAATTGATAACAGCCGTCGTCATCTGACGATGATTTGAGGATGGCGACGGCGTCGGACCCGTCGAATCCTATGGACATGACGCCTTCTCTGCGGGAGTTAATCAGCCCTTCCGAGAGTACAACCAACAAGACTAATGTGACATCGTCATGGCCCGAAATGCCGGTTGCGCTATCAATAGGTTGTTTTCTTGGTTTGATCATATGCGCGGCTGTATTCGGTAATTTATTGGTAATTGTGTCAGTCATGAGACACAGAAAATTACGTATTATTACAAATTACTTTGTTGTATCACTGGCGTTCGCTGACATGTTAGTTGCAATGTTCGCAATGACATTTAATCTGAGTGTTCAAGTGACTGGACGCTGGCTGTTTGGGTTGTTCATGTGCGATGTATGGAACTCACTAGACGTTTATTTCAGTACAAGTTCCATACTACATCTCATGTGTATATCCGTTGATCGTTACGTGGCAATTGTTAAGCCATTGAAATACATGACATACATCACTAAGCGAGTAGTCGCTTATATGCTGATGGCTTGCTGGCTTGCACCTGCAGTCATATCTTTCTTACCAATTTTTAACGGTTGGTACACAACAATAGACAACAATAAACATCGTCAAGATCACCCCGACATTTGTGAATTCAAAGTTAATGAACCTTACGCCATACTGTCATCAAGTATTTCATTTTGGATACCATGTACAATTATGACATTAACTTACTTCGCAATATTTAAAGAGGCTAATGAACAGGAGAAACAGATGCATAATAGGATGGGCAATGCTATGCTGTTAAGTCATAGGCCAAGTAGAGATTTAAATAATTTCAACGGAGAATTGAACAGCGGCGGTTCATCTAAAACTTTGACATTGAATGAAATTAATACTGATCATCTTCATACACCAACAAAGGACAAAAATCTCATCAAAATGAAAAGAGAGCACAAAGCAGCCAGAACTCTCGGTATTATAATGGGTACATTTATCCTATGCTGGCTACCATTTTTTCTCTGGTATGTCACAACAAGCTTGTGTGGACAACACTGTAATTGTCCAGATATCGTTGTACACATTGTATTTTGGATTGGCTACACAAATTCTGCCCTAAATCCTCTCATCTATGCTTACTTCAATCGTGATTTCCGGGAGGCCTTCAAGAATACACTACAGTGTGCATTCTGTTCACTCTGCAGAAGGGAACCGTTTGATCTTGAGGCACTGGATATACGTCGGCCATCCCTAAGGTATGCTATAAACAAGTTTTTTCTCCGCCATGAAGTGTTATTTACGGTTGTTTACGAGGGTCATAAGGGATGCTCAACTTTCACGGCGGTCAAACGTCACGAGAGTCACAAGGGGGCGATTAAACTTCACCGTATTCCTTTCTGACTCTTGTCACCCTCGCAACGTTTGACCCTCGTGCGATTTGCTCATTCCCTTGTGACGTTGGACCCCGTAGAATGGACCATGGGGACATTTAAATGTGGTGAAATTTAATTATTCCCTTGTGACTCTCGTGAATCTCATGACGTTTGACCCTCTTAAAAATTTAACGATTCCCTTGTGACTCTCGCGAAAATTTGACCATCACCTTGTGGGCCCCATAACGTTTGACCCTCGTCAAATTTTACTCTTGTAATGTTTGACCCTTGTAAAATTCGACCTTTGTGCAAACAAGTCTTGAGAAAAACGATAAGTTTTCCCGAATCCCGGTAGATGGCGCCATGTGTCGTAAAAAATGTAAATAACTTATCAGGTAATTTACTCAATTTTTTACACGTAAAAAATTCTGTAATTTACTGCAGGTAATTTTCTTCCAATCCCTGCCCCTGAGATTGTCCTTCCTTCATTTGACCCTCGCAAGGGATCACCTCGACGAGGTACGATTCTGGCGTCATTTGACTCTCGCCGGGTATGACCATTGCGACGTTTGACCCTCGACAGACATGACCCTTGTGGCCCTTGTCACCATCTACATATGAATCATCAGTATTTTACTATGTACCGTAGGAAACCCTGATTTTCAGTGAACGATCCACCCGTGATCTTACGTAAGATCTTGGGGAGGGTTCACTGAATCTTACGTGGAGGGAGTGGGGGGTCAAAAATGGGTAAAAATTGCCTTACGTAATTTATGGACGTCCCCATTCTGATTTGCCGGAGAGAATTGGAACATCAGAATGGAATGGGAAGAAAGTCGGAAGAGGAGAATAGGTTGCGTGTGTCGCAGCATTCGGACCCAAGACAGTGAGGGTGAAAGAAAGTGTGTCCCTAGAGTGAGAGTTGTGATGTCTTGACGTTGAAATTTATAGATGGCGCTATTAATCGGCCATAATAGTCCGCGAGATTCGAATTATTGTTGGAAAATGATTTAAATAGTTCAGAAAATCAAAAAATATACCAGAAATAGAGGAATAAAGAAAGTCCGGAATACAATGGACAAAGAGAACGAAAAACAGCATCGCAAGCGTGAGAAAAACCGTTACGGAAATAGTAAATGTCAAATACTTGAGTTTTGCTCTTATAATTTACAACCCTCCAAATTCTCGTTGAGTAAACACTTTCCTCGAAAATCCAAATTTAGAGAAGAAAATAAATTTAACGGTTACGGTCCCATGTCGTAAAATCTCAGTTCTGGTTATTTCGAAAGGTTCTCTGTTTCACGTGACTAACACGTGTGGGCTCTCCATTGTTCATTGTTTCGCTAGGCTGAGGGCCTGAGACCCTTCGCGACGAAGTTTCACGACGTCACACGCTCCCCTTCTTCCCCTTTTTTTTTCATTTCCCCGCTTTTCCTTGAGTTTCACTTTGCCCTTTCCCCTGGGCCAGGATTGCGCGCGCAACTTTTGGTCCGGTGGGGTTGCGGACCCAACCCTTGGAGTTAAATTTAAGTTTAAGTCAGTTCCATCGTGGAAATTGGTGGTGAAGCCTTCAGCTTCCAGCTTCTCTCTTCAAATAGTTTTTCAGTAGAGTTTTTCTAGAGTTTATTAAATTCATTTTTTGTAGTGCAAAGTTTAAAGTCCGAAGTTGAAGTATTTTCAATAAAAGTGTTTGTGTGCTCTCTTAAGCACTTGTGTTGAATTTATTTCACAATTCAACCCTTCCAACCAAATATTCTGGGATTAAACAATTGGGCTTCGATGAAGTGCTCATCAGAGCTTTGGCAGCAAACGAATCTACAGTCAAAATTGGCGCTCTAAATTCCATTGGCGCTATTGTCCTCCGAGATACTTCGGTAGGACATAACAGAGTGACTTGTCGCACATAAACTCCGTAGCGGGTTAGGACGGAGAGGGAAGGGGGGAGGGAATAAAAGAGGCTTGTGTGGGGTCACATTTAAGTGCGGTGTGTCGTCGCCAAGCCGTGGTCATCTGAAACCCTTCAGATAACACCCCTGGCAAGAACTCGCGTTACCGTACTGCGTTGGGACATACGCTTGAGATATTATCTGGAGATTTTTGGATTTCAAGGAACTCAAACATCTCATTATGATTAATTTTTAGAGTTTCATTGATTCTTTTTATTATTTTTCCGGAGAGATGGATGGAGAAACGAAAAAAAGTTACAATTGTGACGAAAGTTATATTAAATTTATTATATAACTTTGCATGAGTCACTGGATTTCGAAATCTAGTAACCACCCAGGTGCATGTGAATCGAACTCGATGAAACCCGTACACTCAAATTCAATCTCAGGTTTCAAGCCACCCATTACTTTACCGGATATAAAACTATCGGTATAAATTCTTTTATCAGTAAATTCGAAGCTTTTTGAAATCTTCAATTCAAAATAATTGAAAAAAAAATCTATTCAAATTTTGAAGGAAAAAAATTTTCTGCGGCGTCGCGACGTAACACTTCCAATGATCCCCCCCCCCCCGCTGGCTGTGTGTGTAATGTTTAGTCCCCTCATGTATCAAGTTCAATTATTCAGTATAATTTTCTAGATTAAAACTGCTCACCCCCGTGAATAGGGTGGGACGGTAAACACACGCACAACAGTTAGCCCTACCTTGTTAAAGTATCAAGCTTCACCAGCCCTTAGCGTTACAGAGGGGTCGCGACGGAGATGCAGCTGATATGAACCCCACGAAGGTCATGATTTGATCCAGTCACATTCTTCAGTTATTTTTCACCTAATTGAATCTGTTTGAAATCCTGTTCGATTTCGGGAAGCATTTTGGACCTTTCTGACTTGTTGCGTGGGGTATTCGGAACCCCTCGCGGAGTACCAATTTCACCCAAGAGGTGTCAGTTCGCCTCCCGAATTTCAGTTAATTATTCGTCATCAGTCGATGAAGCTGAAACTAGCGGCAGGAGGCAGCGGCAGATCGCTCAGCGGCAGAGGCGAAATGATGCTCGGGGGCCCAGTCATAGATTTCCATTTTTTTTTTGTTTTTCTATTATTGATTGAAAGCTATTTTCACTAATAGTGGATGACGTTCAGCGGAGGATTCAGAATTGCGTCAAAGTGGGAAATTGTATGACGCTTGGGCATTATGACGCGACTTCATGATAGTACCGGCAATTTAAAAAAATACTTCCGGTCCTAGGAAAATTCTGAATAAATTCGATAACTGATTTTGACCCCACATGAAATATTAAAAATGAATGAAGAAGGAATCAACTTCAACTTATAGGTCAAGCGGCAAAATCGCATTACGCTAGGCATTGCAGCGGGACTCCAACATAGTTTTGGCAATGAAAAAGATACTCCCGGTCATAGAAATATTCTGATTTATTTCAGACGATTTATTTAAACCCCAAATGAAGTATGAAAAATGAATGTGGGAAGAATCAAGTTCAAGGTCAAAGGGGGAATCGGGTGGTTGCGGCGCGAATTCATCACAATTCTGGCGATAGAAGAGAAATTTCCGCTCATAGGAAAATTCTGAATTAATTCAGACAACTTACTTGAACTTCAAATGAAGTATTAAGAATGACTAAGGCAAGAATAAACTTTAACTTCGTGGTCAAGGGAGCAAATTAAATGACGCCGGGCATTATGACGCGACTTCATCATACTACCGGCGGTGGAAAAAATACTTCCGGCCATACCAAAATTCTGAATTGATTGAGACAACTTACTGGAACTCCAAATGGAGTATGAAAAATGAATAAGGGAGGAATCATCTTCAACTTCGAAGTCAAGGGGGCAAATTACATGATTGCAGCGTGACTCTATCAGAGTTCTGGCGATAGAAAAAACTACTTCCGGTCATAGGAAAATTGTGAATTAATTCAGACAACATACTTGAACTTAAAATGGAGTATGAAGAATGAATAAGGGAGGAATCAACTTCAACTTCAAGGCAAAGAAGGGACAATGTCTAACGCCTAGGCAATACTACGCGACTTCAGAACACTACTAGCGATAGAAAAAATACTTCCCGTAATTGGAAAATTCTGAATCAATTCAGATTTGTCTAGACGCGATATGATTCATTGAACATAAATTGGAGCGAAATCAATATTTGTTCAGTCGATCGGAACACCTTTCATGCTCCGGGCCACGGCGAACCCTTTGACGCCCCCGCCGCGAAGCAATTTGGCGCTGCCTCCTGCCATTAGTTTCAGCTTCATACCAGTCGAACGCATCAATGCGAGAAAATTATCTTCGGAGAATTATTGAACGTAAAGTTATCGTGAATAATAATCTAGCAAATTATCGTGTAAATCTATTTGTGTTAAATTCACCTTTAATTAAACAATGTGTCGAGTACCAAGAATCAGCATTCCTTTTTTAATTAGTGATATTTTATCAGAGGAAATTCAACAGCAAGTCAACACGTGTTTGCAAGTATTAAGTAGAGAGAGTTTTTCTTATTAAGCAATCACCGCCAGTTACTGCGATATACGAAGTACACATTTTGTTTGTGAATAAATTAACTTGGCTCAGGCCTTATTATCGGTTTGTTCATTGCTTGGACAAATTCTCCCAACCTGACGTCAATCTCTTCCGCGAGCATCCTGAAAATCCTCAAATATCAACTTATTTTTAATAGAGTCCGACTCAATTTTCATATTGATTTCCTTTGTCGTTAAATAAGGAAATGATTCAGTTTCCTCGAAAAATTCTTTGGAGCAGGTATATGCTCTAATTACCTGCCAGGTTCCTGGCATATAATTAGATAACATTGAAACTCTAATTTTTCCGGCTTACTGATAAGTAAATATTAAACTTTCTTATGTTAATCTTTGAGTATTTCGACGTATATTGTGTCCGCAACTGGTTGCTATAAAT